CTGGAATAAAAGTAAGTCCTGTTAACCACTGAGCCACCTCTCCGGCCCTCTCCCTCTTGTTCTCCCTCAAGCTGTTTTTCAAAATTTTGAAATTCACAATTTTTTGACATTCTGTCCAATTCCACAAAAATCTCTGTTGAACTTAGATCAGAAACACTGAATTTGGGGGAAGAAGTAGCATTATGTATGATTTTTAACTAGGTCTGACATCCTTCAACAATGCTCCAGTCTTTCTTTATGAAAGTTTTTTTTCTGCCCCGAGGTGATTTGATTCGATCTACCTCACAGTGTCTGCGGTCCTACGCACATCACTGTGTTCTGCTCTGTCTCCTATAGACTGGCTGGTTATGCCAGTAAACGGGACAGCACCGGGGGTTGCATCATGTTCTTATCTCTATACAGTAGGTTTTCTGTAGTGTGCAAATTATCTAGGCCTGTGGTAGTGTCTGCAACAACGTTAATCTGGTTATCTAGTCTCAATTTATCTCTTGTTTCTTTTTCTTATCCTATTGCTACAGCTAAGATTCCAGTATGGTGCTGAAGAGCAGGAATCACTGATGTTTGAAATGAACCTAAATTTTCTCTTGAAGCATCAGGTTCTGCAGCTCTTCTTCAGTCACAAATTTTAAGATGTGTTTTTTTTTTAACCTACATATACAAGTCGAGTGAGTCTACAAAAGTTGTTACTAATAAAAATAACCTTCTCAATTACCTCCAATTTTTTTTACCCACTGAAGGCAATTCTTTCCTTTCACCGTAAATTTTTTATTAAAGAAATATCGAATCATATTCAAAACAAGAGAGAGCAGCGTAAGGGAAGCCTGTTTCCATTTCTCAGTTGTTGCAGTCATCAGGAGATAGGCAATTTGGTTTCATTTATGTCTTTTTCCATTTTTCACCTGGGTATGATTTTGAGGCAAGCATCAGACATCATTTTGTTGTTAATATCTCAAACATGTGTTTCTAAATATAATGGTGACATGGTACCATCCCTGTATCAGGGCTCTTCAGAGAAACAGTAAGTGGTATGAGTGTGGTTATAGAGACAGGAAGAGAAAAGACGGGAGAGGCAGGTGGGGTGGAAAGGGTACTGGGGATTTGTAAGACTCAGCTGTATGATCACAGAGGTGGAGAAGTCCCAGGATCTACAGGTCTACAGTTAGTGTGTCTAGGAGTGTGGCTCTATAGGAGAGCATGTTCTTAGCATGTATGAGACCCTAGGTCAGATCCCCAGAATTAGAAGAAACAAACAAACAAACAAACAAACAAAACACAACCAAGTGTATCCTGAGCTGGAGATCCAGAATGGTGGTATACTTCTAGTCTAGTCCTGAAGGCGGCAAGATACATTCCAGGCTGAAAGTCTGAGGGGCTGAAACACAAGAGGTATTTTTCCAGTCTGGTCTAACAGTAGGGAAAGATCAGGACCACAATTCAAGCTATAAGGCACCAACTGGTGGCTCTCAACCACCTGTGACTCCAGCTATTGGGATATCGAAGCCTCTGGCCTCTGAGAACATCTCTACTCACATGCACATACCCCCCTTCAAGACTCACACATATATACATCATTAAAAATAATACATATTTAAAAATTTTAAAGGAACTCATTTTTGTGTTACTACACATTAAAACTCATTTTCAAATAGTAAAATATTAGAACAGGGATTTTTAAAAATAGTGGACCATACTAGACAGAAATCCTAGAAATAGTCTCAATAAAAACTTTATTTATTTATTTTATTTTTTTGGTTTTTTTCGAGACAGGGTTTCTCTGTGTAGCTTTGCGCCTTTTCCTGGAACTCACTTGGTAGCCCAGGCTGGCCTCGAACTCACAGAGATCCGCCTGGCTCTGCCTCCCGAGTGCTGGGATTAAAGGCGTGCGCCACCACCGCCTGGCTATAAAAACTTTAAAATTTGATCATTATTTGGGTAATAGACAGCTAACAATGGATTGTTCAATAAAGGTAGGAACTGATGTTCCCTGGGAGGAAAATGAAGTTAGAGAATTACTTCACACACTGGAAAAAATAAATTCCCAAAGAATTTCAAACCCAAAAGTGAAAAACAGTGCTGGGGCTGAGGGTGGGGGTGGGGCAGTCACCGCAGGAGGGACCCTCTCTCTTCTGTAAGTAGAGACCATAAAACACAAAAGGCTGAAATAAGAAAAGCCATTAATTAAATCCTAATTAAATTCCCTGTGCAACGACCCCACAAGTTAAGAGATGAGTCAGAGACCATAGCTTATATTTGCAACGTGTGATAATGCATAAAAGACCCAGATCAGAACATGCAGGAAGACCTACGAAGTGACAGAATCACACCAGAAGTTGTACGCAGGGTGTGAACGATGCGATGCGTAAAAGAGGAAATCAAGACAGGGAAAAGCATGGGAAGATCCTCCAAACCAACCGTAGTCAGAGAACTATAAAAACAGAACGAAATGTCATTTCATGCAGACCAAGTTGACAAAAATTAAAAAGTCTAACCATGAGAAGACAGGAAAACTTCAATGCAGCTAGTGGAAGAGCTAGTTTAGAGACAAAAATTCAGGATATGGCTTTATCTCTTTAAAAATTTATTTATAGGTGGAGGTAGGGGTGCACGCCTTTAGTCCCAGCACTCAGGAGGCAGAAGCAGGCGGATCCCTGTGAGTTTGAGGCTAGCCTAGTCTACAGAGTGAGATCCAGAACAGCCAGAGCTATACAGAGAAACCTTGTCTCAAAAAACAAAACAAAAAACAGCAAAATCACTCATTGTATGACCCAACAATGCTAGCTATTCACCTGAGAGAAAGTTTTATGAATTAACACAGTAAATAGGAAAAAATAAAATAAAATAAAACCAACCCCAGAATGACTTCAGTTATGAAAATCAGTTCTGGAAAGATAAAAAGTGGTGTACTTTCATATTTAAATATCATGTAGTAAAGTCAGTTAACTAGATTTATACCATGTAGCAACATAGGAACCTCAAAGACTACATAGAATTTAAAAATCAAGATGCAGTAGAACACCTGTAATCCCAGCACCTGAGGGGCAGAGGCAGGAGCATCAGGAGTTTGAGGTGAGGTCCCTGCAATAGCTTGTTGGGTAAAGAAACCTACTGCCAGGATTGGTGACCTAAGGGATTCACAAGGTAGAAGGAGAAAATTGGCTCTCTGAAGTCATTCTCTGAATTCCATGTGTATGTACATGCACACACACCCCTAAACAGTTCAAGGATATCTTTAACTGTACAGGCAATTCCAGGTCAACCAGGGCTGGTTGAGACCTTGTCTCAAAAACATACTCTACCCTCAAGAGAAACAAAACAAAAAAAGCAAGTTCAAAGATGGTACATATGGTTTGCTATCATTTTTATAATATTTTAAAAAACAGATATAAATTTGGATGACTCTACTCAAAACAGTGTGGAAATGAATGATTGGAGGCAGCTTGTGATACTTACGCCTGTAATCCCAGCGCTTGGGAGGCTGGGGCAGGCAGACTCTGAGTTGGAGGGCAGTCTGTTCTACCCAGAGAGATCCTGTTTTATAAAGAAAAGCAAATGACTGGGAACAAGAAGGCGTGCTGTGTGCAGGAAGACCACACTTACGGAAACCTGGGTATAGTCTTTGGAGAGGGTTAGAATCTTTTTTTTTTAATGAAGAGTACTAGAGTCTGTTTGCATAGAAGTCGAATGAGCCAGCAGAGAATGGAAATAATTGGCTCACAAACAGCAAAATTCTGGAAAAAGTGGAAGTTTGGGCAGCAAAGCACAAAAGATGAAGAATTTGTGAGATATATAGCCGGTAGAACAATCTAGAAAAGATGCAAATTGGATATGTGGGAGGGTGGTTTTGTCAAGGGGGTTGAATCAGTTTTGATCAAAAAAAGCAAGTTAAACGGACCTGCAGTCACAGACCCTGCTCTCCCTGGGGCTTGGATCATACCATGGTAGCTCCTCATGAATTCTAACCTACTAGGGAGTCCCAACAGTGTGAAATTCCCAAAGATAAAGTGAATTTCCCAGCTAATACCATTCGACGCCAGCTCCACCGAGCTGTAAACTTTCTCAGGGCCAGGAGATGTGTACTTGTTTATGATCAGCTGCGGCCCCTCAGACAGCTCACCTCACATTGGTGTTGTTGAAGATAACGTATTTGCTGCTGCTGTGGCACAGCAGAACGCATGCACGCTGGTCTGGTCTGGTTCTGCGCTGCTGGTGACTAGCTCTGTAACCTTCTAAATAAGTGACACAATTTCTAAGCGGCTGTGCTTCTGCCTCACAGGGTGGTTAACGCCACCCTTAGCTCGTGAAATGTATCCGCAGAGAGGCCAGAAGTTCACACTTACCCTGGAGACGCAAACTCTGTTTGGAATTTCTCCTGTCATCTGCTCTGATCACAGCGGGGCTCCCGGGTCTAGCTCCTTCCACCATCCCTGCCCCGCCCCCCACACCCCTGTCAATCACAAACGCCCTCATTTTTCTTCTTCCTTCAAACCTCCAAGTGCCCATCCTAAGACAAATGGTTGTCACATCTTTAGGTTTCTTTAGGACATTCCCCTTAGCCATCCCTGAAGATTTGGTATCTTTCACAACAGGGCGCCCACAGCACTGTGTTTGGAAGAGAGGTCACTTACGTCTCTCTCTCTCTCTCTCTCTCTCTCTCTCTCTCTCTCTCTCTCTCTCTCTCTCTCTCTCTCTCTCTCTCTCTCTCTCTCTCTCACACACACACACACACACACACACACACACACACACACACACAAGCATACACACCTATCTCTAGTGCTAACGTAGGTGAGTTTATTTGGTGCTCAGCAGATCCCGGCAGCAGGTGAGAGCTTGGTTCCCCCTTCTGCTCCCGGTTCCCCCATCCTCCCCTGCCACAGTCCCACCCAGCTCCCCAGCCCCTCCCCTCAGTACCCCTGTCTGAAGGGTGCTACTGAGTCTCACTCCACCCTCCTCTGCAGGAGCCAACCGGCAAAGGGCAGCTCAGGACTAGGAATCCAAGCGCATAAAACCGCTCTGAGCTGCCGCATCTGCTCGGCTGGTGCTTGTGTGAGAGCAGAGCGGAGGGAGCGCATAGCATAGCTGGGCTTTCCAGTTCCTGCAGGCAACGCCCATGGTCCTGGACTGCGTCTTCACGGACATCCACTTAGGGACATCCACTCTCTCCACTTTCAGAAAAGTTTGGACAAAGTGAATTGGGGTTGGGGTTGGGAGATGGCAGCTGCTCCCTCTGCTTCCTCTGTGCCCCCTTTCAGGAGCCCCCACCTCCAACCCCCCTCCATCCTTCCCACGCTGACACCCAGCTCCCAGACCCTCCTTTGCTTTCCTTGATTCCCTGACCTCGGTGGGGTCAGCCATGTCAGCTCTGCTCCCTGCTGGTTTTATTCTCCTCCCTATCCCTATCTGCTGAACTGTTTCCAAGTCCTCACACTGCCGTTCTCCCGCCCTTTCTCTCCACCTCTACAACTTTCTCTCTTACTCCATTTTATCTATCCAACTGCTTACTTGCACCCACACGGTCCCTCCACCCACCTTCCTAACCTTCTCTCCCCCAAATCCTGACCATGGATTCTGAGCCTTCTTGGACTGCCACTCCCTCTCCTGGGGGCACCCTGTCTATCCCCAACGCTACCACACCCTGGCTGGGCAGAGATGAAGAGCTAGCCAAGGTGGAGATTGGGATCTTAGCTACCGTCCTGGTCCTGGCCACAGGGGGCAACCTGGCTGTACTGCTGACACTGGGCTTCCAGGGCCGCAAGCGTTCCCGCATGCACCTGTTTGTGCTGCACTTGGCCCTGACTGATCTGGGCGTGGCGCTTTTCCAGGTACTGCCTCAGCTGCTCTGGGATATCACCTACCGCTTCCAGGGCTCTGACACCCTTTGCCGGGCTGTCAAGTATCTGCAGGTGCTCAGCATGTTCGCTTCCACTTACATGCTGCTGGCCATGACGCTGGACCGATACCTAGCTGTCTGTCACCCCCTTCGCAGCCTCCAGCAGCCCAGCCAGTCCACCTACCCTCTCATTGCGGCTCCCTGGCTGCTGGCTGCCATCCTCAGCCTTCCTCAGATTTTCATTTTTTCTCTGCGAGAGGTCATCCAGGGCTCGGGGGTACTGGACTGCTGGGCAGATTTCTACTTTTCTTGGGGGCCACGGGCCTACATCACCTGGACCACTATGGCCATCTTTGTGCTCCCCGTGGTTGTGCTCACAGCCTGTTATAGCCTCATCTGCTGTGAGATCTACAAGAACCTGAAAGTCAAGACACAGGCTGGCAGAGAGGAAAAAGGGGGCTGGAGGACTTGGGACAAGTCCTCGTCTCCTGCCCCTGCGGATGCCACTAGAGGGCTGCCATCCCGGGTCAGCAGCATCAGCACCATCTCCAGAGCAAAGATCCGAACTGTGAAGATGACCTTTGTCATTGTGCTGGCCTACATCGCTTGCTGGGCACCCTTCTTCAGTGTCCAGATGTGGTCTGTGTGGGACGAGAACGCCCCCAATGAAGGCAAGTATGTGGCTTACGTGAGGCGGTGAGGGAGGACGACAGGGTTAGGATAAGGGTTGCAGTGCCTTCCAGCGCCAGGCAGGACACAAGTGAATGGAGTCACGAAGAAAGTTGGTGCTGGTTTGTCTTAGAGCATGCTCTGCTGCTGTAACAAATACCTACCTAACACTTAAAGCATAGAAGTTTATTTCTCACTGTCCTAGAAGCTGGGAAGTCTGGGAGGGCTCTTCCTGTAAGTGGGGACTCTCGGAAGATTTCCAGGGTGGGGAAGGAGACCCCTTGAAAGTGGCCTGTAACATGAATTGTTAAACTATCTTATTAATAGAAAACCCGGAGCCAAATATTGGGGTGAAAGCTGAAAGATCAGAGAAGCAGAGCAAGTCAGCCATGTTCTTACTTCTAGGAAGTCCTCAGTCTCAAGACAAAAGGAAAAGTTCCTGTTTACTCACACCTTATGTACCTTTTACTGCCCTGCCATCTTACTTCCTGGGATTAAAGGCATGTGTACTTCCCAAGCAAAGGCACGAGATCTCAAATGTTGAGATTAAAGGTGTGTGCCACCACGCCTGGCTCTGTCCCCAGTGTGGTCTTGAACTCACAGAGATCTGGATGGATCTCTGCCTCCCTAGTGCTAGTGTGCTAGTGGGTGCCACCACTGCCTGACCTCTATGTCTAATTTAGTGGCTGGCTCTGTCCTCTGATCCCCAGATAAGTTTTATTGGGGTGCACACTATATCACCACAGTGGCCCACTTGGCTTTTCTCATGGACATACTCTTATGGTAACCAACATTTTTTTTTCTTGAAAACCCATGAACCTATTAATCCATGAGCCTCCGTAGTCTTTCCGAAGTCTCACCTGAAAGTACCATCGGCACATGACTTTGAGGACTCTGTTTCTGAGACATGAATTCTAGGAGCAGACATTCAGACCAGCCTTGCCTCACGTGGTCCCATCCAGCCCACTAAGGCTACGTGAGTGAATATCAATTATGTGGAATTTCTTGATTTTTTTTTTTTAAGTTTTGGTTACTTATTTAACAATTTAAAAATACTATGTGACGCCAGTGAAAGACAGCTTCTGTTCTGGAACAATGCAGAGATTAGTGTGGCCCCTGTGGGGAAGAGAGAGACATTTTGGGCAGATTTGTTCAGCCAACTTCCAGGTGCTATGTGGGCTTTAGGCTCAGAGACTTAACAGAGCTGAAAGGGAGTTTCAAATAATCTGGTCCAGGATTGGAATGTGTGGGTTCTGTCTTCTGTCTCGGTGCCCTTCCCTTCTGTGTCTGGACAGAGCTCTGTGACCTTTCTCAGTAGCCACTTCCAATTAGTTAGGGCTGGCGTATGACAGCCCTAAGCTCTCAAGCTCAGCTCCTTCCTATGTCACTGAGGAAAGGGAGGCTCAGAAAGGATCTGTGACTTGGCAAAGAGTAGATCCGAATCTTCCAGCTTCTGGTCTTTTTCTTTTAACCCATTCCTTGCCTACAACCCTGGTTCTTAACTTGCCTCTATAAGGAGAGAGGCCTTCCTCTTACCTGAAAAACAAAATGAGACTCTCCAAGAAGACCACTCTACATGGCAACAGGGAATGACGTACCAGCAGCCTCCTGAGGTTCAAAGGCTGCAGGTGGCTCAGGCTGACCTTGTAACTCACCGAATAGCCCATGTTGAACTTCTGATCCTCCTGCCTCTACCTCCTGAGTGCTGGGATTACAGATGTGTAACACCATGCTTGGTTCTGTAGCCCTTAACTGTCCTGTTGACATTAGTCTGGACATAAAGATATTTGCAAGCTTTTCTGTAAGCAATGAGCGTATTAAACCCAACTTACTATTGAGGTTCCTCTTGTTCTAGCCAAGGATAGACTAGTGGGAAGGGCTTCTTGGTACCAAGTATGTGAATCTGCATGGTGTTATGGAGTGGCTTTCTCTATAGTACATCTAAACTCAGAGTTCAGAAAAGCTGTAAAGATAGTGGTCTAAGATGCCACTGTTAGTAGGTGATGGAGCCAGGACTTGATTCAGGGACTTCATGGGCCAGCTTTATCTGTTACATGACTTTTCTCTCAACAGTTACAGTCTGGCCAGTGATACCAAAGATGAAGTGGTTATTTGCCCTTTATTGAAGGATGTATGGGGAGATGGATTCTGTTTTTTCCATTAGGCAGTGTGGTTTTTCCCTGTTTGTCTGCAGGACCCACCATTATCGTGAGCCTTTCCCTGATACACTGTGTGCATAGAGAGTGGTTTCCCATGGCTGAGGGCCTCTCTGAACCAGAGCAGGGACGAAGCATTGTCTTACAATGCACTCTCAGAAAAATAAACACTCAGTGGGCTCTGAGTCACTCACTGCCTTAGAGTTATGTGTTCAGTACACCCTGTTCCCCTATGGTCTTTGGGTAAAGCCTGTCTTCTTGGCCCTCTAGGCTGCATTTCTGCCTGGACTGGGTGTGGGAGATGGTCCCACAAGGAAGAGAAGCAAAGCCTCCATGGAGTCTGATGCTTCTCAATGGCACATGCCCAGCCCCTACACTGTGCCTGACTCAGAGAGGCCAAACCAAAATGTGCTTCCTAAGGCATGGAATTTGTGCACCTGGGCCAAATGGCCTTGGCTTCTACACCTATGACTTGTGTCTTTTATCAAATGTTCCCACCCTATACCCTGGCTATTTTTGTACCAGGAGTGGCCCTATCTTGAGTATACTGAGGGAGTTCTTTGTGATTGTCTGAAGTTTTGTCATAGACTGCAGGGTAAACACATGAGCTAGACCTTGGACGTTAGTGGTTGAAGCCCCGGTGGGTCCGGGATCTCGGCTTTAGAGATAGAAGGCATGGAGTGGCAGTTCCTGTTGACTGTGCCAGACGACTGGAAAGTCTACTTGGGAGTTTCCTTTCAGGTCTGACATTGCTTTTAAAGATTCTTCAACCTCTGCGAAGAGGCGGCTAGTAGGCCAGCTGTGCCGCTGTACAGATGTGTCCAGCAGGAGGCCAGGGTCATCTGGTCAGCATTCCTGTTTGTGAGAAGTGTTTCATTAAATCTCTAGGAAGAAATGTGTATTTGGAAGGGTTCTTAGTGGAATTTTTCTCCTGTACATTTTGCCTGCCTAAGAAACATTTTTCCTCATGAGAGAGTAGATTCCCAGTGAGAATTCGAGAACAAGACTGAGATCCAAGCGGAAGCTCTGTCCCTAGAAGCTGCCCCTCTGTTGTATTTGGAGATGGTGGTCACCTAAGACCATCGGAAAACACAGACATTTCATTACAATTCATAACAGCAGCAGCATAGCAGCTATGAAACATCAATGAAAATAATTTTATGGGTGGGGGTCACTACAACGTGAGGAACTGTATTACCCCAATATCTTGCTCTGGGTTTTTTTTTTATTAGATCTACTAGATTTCGTGTTACAAAAGAGGACAAAGAGAAGGCTCAAATTAGAATATTCATGGTCCAGATTTTAAAACAAAACCTTTCCTTCTGCATGGACCCATCCTACCCAGGCAGTGTTGACTCTTCTAAGTTGAACCTGAAGCAAACCTTATCGCTACGGTTACAAAGTCAACTGTAACTAGAGCAGTAAGACCTGGACTCGGGAATTAAGGGCCAAGCCTGAGCTTTGCTCCCTAGTTATAGACGTCAGGTGAATGTCTTTCCCTCTCTGGGACTCCATGTCTTCATCTGCTCAGTGGAGACCCAGCTTCTGTCCTAGCCCCCTATGCCCCCCTGAGCTGTCATTCTAAGAGGCCTTCTGTCCTTCTGTCTTGGCAGATTCTACCAATGTGGCTTTCACCATCTCAATGCTTTTGGGCAACCTCAGCAGCTGCTGCAACCCCTGGATCTACATGGCCTTCAACAGCCACCTGCTGCCGCGTTCCCTGAGTCACCGCGTCTGCTGCAGGGGTTCGCAGCCCCGGGTGCACAGGCAAGTCTCGGACAGCAGCCTGGCTAGCCGCCGCACCACACTGCTCACCCACTCCAGCGGTCCGTCTACCCTCCGTCTCAGCCTTCACCTCAGCCTCCAGGCAAAGCCCAGGCCTGCAGAGTCACAGAAGGATTTAGAGCAGGGAGATGGAGAAGCCGCCGTGGAGACCAGCATCTTTTAGAGAAGACTCCCTGGAACCTGGCTCTACACATCTCAGCTATTGGGAATAAGGACTAAATGGGTTGGTGATGGTACTGAGTGGAACCTAGTTTGAGGCAGGGTAAAGAGGCCAGAATGGCTGCCATTACCCTAGGTGTCATGACAGCCCCAAGTGTGAGTACTGGCTGTTCTCTCTCAATTTAGATGGCTGGAAACTAGGAGAATCAAACTACCTGTTCCTTCTACATTCATAAGGGCACCCACAAGCATGCCCAACTGGTAGATAGAGTGTTCTAGATCTAGGACAGGCCTAGATGGTACTATCAACTCAGAGGCTCGTCTCATGACTTGGCTAACTGCCTCCATTCTAATCTGACTGGTACATCTCAGTGCAACCAGGAGAGGAGAGAAGAGATTATTAGAAAGGGGAACAGGTGTGTGGGACTTCCAGCTGTGCTCACCTGTCTACAGAAATGAGATGGTCTAATGGTGATGTGGGACCTGGTACCCAATGGTGATGTGGGACCTGGTACCTGATGGTGATATGGGACCTGGTACCCAATGGTGATGTGAGACCTGGTACCCAAGGGTGATGTGGGACCTGGTACCCAATGGTGATGTGAGACCTGGTACCCAATGGTGATGTGAGACCTGGTACCCGATGGTGATGTGAGACCTGGTACCCAATGGTGATGTGAGACCTGGTACCCGATGGTGATGTGAGACCTGGTACCCGATGGTGATGTGGGACCTGGTACCCGATGATGATGTGGGACATGATACCAAGTAGGAACATAGTAAATGCTCCAAGTAGGAACATAGTAAATGCTCTTCTCCCACATCATTCCTGCCACCAGATGGGTGGCATTGGGATGCACCACGTGTTCTCAGTGGTATGGTCCACTGGGGCTAGATACAGAGAAAGAGGAGAGGGAGGAAGGAATGAAAAAAGCCACAATAAAATCAGGGGAAGGAATAAGCCTAAGAGGCCACAGGGCTAGGGCCTTTCTCCTTGTCTCCTCCAGAGGTCCAGACTTCCTTCCTCTGGGACTGTGCGGAACAGACATCCTTTTTGAAAAAAGCTGACTTGATTATGGCTGTAGAAATTCTTGAAGTTCTAAGAGAAGTTGGAATCAAAGGGTTTATTTTTTGTTTGTTTGTTTTGGTTTGGTTTTGTTGTTGTTGTTTTTTTTGTTTTTTGGTTTTTCTAGACGGGGGTTTCTCTATGTAGTTTTGGTGCCTGTCCTGGAACTTACTTTGGAGACCAGGTTGGCCTCGAACTCACAGAGATCCGCCTGCCTCTGCCTCCTGAGTGCTGGGATTAAAGGCGTGCGCCACCGCTGCCCAGCAGAATCAAGGTTTTTAAGTCTCTGCTCCACCCTGGGAAGCCACCTCCACTTTCCAGGCCTCAGCTTCCTCACCTGTAGTGAGATGGCCTCTAAGGTCTTTCTCAGCTCTAGCCGTCTATGACTCCGCAAAATCAGAATTGGGGTAATAGCACAAAACCACGAAGTGTGTTCTACCCAACAGGCTCTAGAATTGTTCCATTTTTATAACAATTACATCTATACCTTTACTTCAGTTCTGCTAGGTCCCGCCACACCAGAGCTGGTCCCTTTGACCTCAATTCTGTATTGTTGAATCCTCTTTCTAGGTAGGAAGAGACAGCAAGGAAAGGTGAAACCTAGGACCTGGCCTCACTCTTCTTTACTGTTTCCAGGGGAACTAAAATCTTAGAAGAACTTCCCCACCTCGGTTCTGGTTCCAAGGGACAGCCGAGATTATACAAAAAGCACCACCCAGCAGCAGGTCAGGAGAGCTGGGTCTTGGCTCTGTCCTAGCAGTGACCACGGTCAGTCACATGCTGAGTCAGGCTATCTCAGTTATGAGAGTCAGACAAAGTGGGTACAAATGTAGTTTGCAACCTTGACTGATCTACAAGCTCTAGGGAACAGGTTCACCACCCTCCCCCGACTCCTAGGGAAGCTTTGAAGAGTGATTATGGTTCTGTAAAGATGCTTCTCGTGGGGTTAGGGTTTCTGTCAGCTTGACACAAATTCTGCTCATCTTGGAGGAGGGAACCTCAGTTGAGGAACTGCCTCCATCAGACTGGTCTGTGGGCATTTTCTTGGCTAGTGATTGATGTGGGAAGGCCAGCCCACTGTAGGCAGTACTACCCTTGGGAAAGTTGTCATGGGTCGTAGAAGAAGGCTGAGCTGAAGACATGCATACCAGTAGCATCACACAGACTGAGCAGTTTGTATTATGTATTTAGGGAGTACATATGTATATACATATACACGTACATATACTTACATAACAACAATTAATGAAAAAAGAGGACATGAATTCGAGAGGGAGAGAAGGAAAGGTTTGGAGGGAAAGGGGAAGTGATGTAGTTAAGCTATAATCTCAAAAAAATAAAAGAAATTACTTTAAAAATTAAAAATAAGAAAGAAAGCAGGCTGATCAAGCCAGTGAGCAGCACCCCTCCACAGCCTCTGCTTCAGTTGCTGCCTCCAGGTTCCTGCCTTGACTTCCCTCAGTGATGGAGTGTAAGCTGAAATAAACCCTTTCCTCCCTGGGTTGTTTTGGGTCATGTGTTTATCACAGCCGCTCTGCCCCAAGAAGCCTCCTTAGGACTCCTTAGAAGAAAAGAATCCCAGGTGGATGCTGCGACTGAGCAGTTCCAACCCTTTGTTTGGTACTAGAGAACTGAAGAGCGACAAACAGACACAAGTATGTGTGTGTGGGGGGGTGTTAAAGGTGCAAGGCAGTCAGGAGGGGGTCACCCACCCCCTCTCTGTCCTATTGCCCAAGGCAGCCCCACACATCTTTTTTTTTTTAATAACAAAATTCAACTTTATTTTTTTTGCAATTGTAACCATCTTTAAGTTCACAATTCAGTGGCATGAATTACATTCAAGATATTAATTACACTCATGATGTTCATTAATTACACTCATGATATTAATTACATTTGTGGTATTCATTGATTACATTCACAGTATTCATTCAATATTTATGAAATTCATTAATTACATTAATTGCATTAATTTATTACATTCATGACATTAAGTCTTGATACTACTGTCCGTTTATGGCAGCCCCAGACATCTAACTACTTCTCTGCCCATCTATCATGCGGATCTGGGCTTGGGACCCACACCCCATCAAGCCGGTCGGTCAGAGCAGTTGAAGACATTCCTCGCCCCACCACTACCCAACACCCCATCTTCTGACTGCAGTTCCTGGCTCCAGTGCCTATAGCAGAGAAGGTACTAATCAAGTCCTTCACCACGTGGCTGGGACTCAGCAGGAACCCCAACTGTGCATCCCAAAGACCTGGGGTTGAGTCTTGCTCTCTTTCTACCCATGTGAACTCAGCAAGTCTCCAATTTCCCTGAGCAGTATTCCCTTTATTAATGAAATAGCAATGTCCCTCTGTTGGGAGAGATTTATAAAGAACTCTCTCCTGATGTCATAGGAGGAGATGATGGTCTGTCTTAGACTGCATCTAGAGGATGACCCCCAAGGCCTTGGGCCTGGAGAGTCTCTAATACAGAGAAGAAAAAGGACCCAGGATCAAGGCCAGTTAACGTCTCTTTCTAGCTCACTCTTTATCTCCAGTAATCCCTGTCCGTCTACTCCTGTACTTTCTCTTGTGAATTGCATAAGGAAAATTTACTTGTGGGTGTCTTTGGGGCCCCAACAGTTCCTTCCATGGAAAGACTGCACTGGATCTTTTCCAGAAAGCAGGTTCTACAACAAGATCAATGTGAAGTGACCCAGACATTGGGCCAGGGACTTTGGGAGCCCACTGTAAGATGTTCCGGGAACAAAGGTGGATCTGGCCTAAGTCCATGAGCGACAGCCTTTGTAACACCATTAGGGAGTTCGCATAGACAGTGTGGACCAGTGAGAGAGCCTTGGATGGGTTACAAGCAGGTGGGTCCTGTCGGGGTGGAGCCCAAATCATTTCTGTCCCCTAACACCAGGATAAACTGAATAATTCTGCTTCTATGTTGGGAACATGTATATACAGTTCACGCCACCCTGTGTATTGTGAAGCCCAGTACTTCAGTCCCTTAAAACCTACATAGGCAATCTGGGCCTGAGTCCACAGGCTGTAACCTCAGCTCCTCAGGAGGCGGGAGGATTGTAAATATAAGAACTGCCTGGGCTACAGAGCAAATTCAAGGCTAGATTGGATATTTTAGCAAGACCCTGTTTTGAAATAAAAATAAAAATAGCGGGGGGCATAGGTCAGCGGCAGAGCAATCCCTTAGCAACAGGCCCTAGAATTAATCCTCTGACCCCAGCATTGCAAAAATAAACAAAATCCAAAACTTACACAAGCACTGGGAATAGTGGCGCACATCTGTAATTCCAGCACTCAGGAGGCAGAGGCAGGATTGAGAGTTCAAGGCCAGCCTGGTCTACATAGATGCGATAGATGCGACCCTGTCTTATAAAATAAAACCAGAGCTGGGCGGCGGTGGTGGTGAATGCCTTTAATCCCAGCGCTCGGGAGGCAGAGGCAGCGGGATCTGTGAGTTCAAGGCCAGCCTGGTCTACGGGGTGAGTTCCAGGACAGCCAGGGCTACACAGAGAAGCTCTGTCTCAAATAACCAAACAACCAAACAAACAAACAAACAAACAAACCATGTAGGAATAGGACACCGGGTACAGACAGGGCAGGAAGGATAGTGGTGTGTGGGAGACTGACAGGTTAACTGTAGGAATTCCTTCAGGTTGGATTTTGTTTTGTTTTGTTTTGTTTTGTTTTGTTTTGTTTTGTTTTTCGAGACAGGGTTTCCCTGTGTAGCTTTGCGCCTTTACTGGAACTCACTTGGTAGCCCAGGCTGGCCTTGAACTTACGGAGATCCACCTGGCTCTGCCTCTTGAGTGCTGGGATTAAAGGCGTGCGCCACCGCCACCACGGCCCGGCCAGGTTGGATTTTTAAACTATTTGGTACCAGCAACTGTTTCCCAGGTGGATGTCCTTGTGTTATGTAAATAGGTCTTTGGTCTAAAGTAGCTATTAACTCAGCCCAGGCTGCCCTTGGTTCCCTTCTGGGTCCACAGCTCCAAAGTCCTGGTTGAAATTAACCAATACAACTCTTTAATATCCAGGAAAATCCCATGCATATTTATTCTTATGAACAATAATAATGGGCTTCACAAGATAAAATTAAAGCATGATTTACTGAGCAAGCAGCGTAGAAGTTGGTGGGCAGAGAGACATGATTAGGGTCTCTTGCCCCCTGCAAACAGGAAAACTGCGTCTGCAAACACAAGGTGGCAGTGTGGAGCTGAAGGAGCAGGTCCTGTGGCCCTGGGTTGGACCGGGTAACCCTTGCCTTAAGAATCAGGTTAAATGAAGGGGGTCCCTTCTCTAAGCAAACATTACTGAGATCCAGTACACACACACACACACACACACACACACACACACACACACACACACACACACACGCCACCCCTCCCTACCCTTGCCCGGGACAGCCTGAGGCAACAATGAACCCCAGGGGCAGACTGAGAGAGCCAGCCTTGAGAGTGTTGGCCCCTCATTTGCCTGGGTTCTCTTGAGATGCCAGACTCAGGGCTTCCTTCTAAGGTCACGAGGGTGCATCTGACAACCACAAAGCCTAAGAGCTGTAGGAGGATTAAGAAAGACATGCATAGGACTGTTTGAGGGAGTAGGGTACCTCAGAAAGAAAGAAGGAAAGGGAGGGAGAGGAAAGGAAAGGAAAGGAAAGGGAAGGGAAGGGAAGGGAAGGGAAGGGAAGGGAAGGGAAGGGAAGGGAAGGGAAGGGAAGGGAAGGGAAAGGGAAGGGAAGAAGGGAAGGGAAGGGAAGGGAAGGGAAGGGAAGGGAAGAAGGGAAGGGAAGGGAAGGGAAGAAGGGAAGGGAAGGGAAAGGGAAGGGAAGAAGGGAAGGGAAAGGGAAGGGAAGAAGGGAAGGGAAGGGAAGGGAAGAAGGGAAGGGAAGGGAAGGGAAGGGAAGGGAAGGGAAGGGAAGGGAAGGGAAAAGGGAAGGGAAGGGAAGGGAAGGGAAGGGAAGGGAAAGGGAAGGGAAGGGAAGGGAAGGGAAGGGAAGGGAAGGGAAGGGAAAGGGAAGGGAAGGGAAAGGGAAGGGAAGGGAAGGGAAGGGAAGGGAAGGGAAGGGGAAGGGGAAGGGGAAGGGAAGGGAAGGGAAGGGAAGGGAAGGGAAAAAAAGAAAAAAAAAACAGAAAGGGCAATGTTACTGCTGCCCTCTGATCTTGCTGAGCCCAGAAATCCATATTTGCAAATCCCCACTGATATTGAGTCTAAAATACCTCTGGATCCAGTTCACTAATGAGATGGTCTTGGAATTCTGTTGCAGCTTCGCGGTGACATTGGAATGGTTGCTCCTTTAGAATAAGAATTCATGAGGCAGGGTCCTGTTTGCTGTGGTCTATATTTCCAGCTTGTAAACACACAATCATCTGCTGGCTGCTTAAGCAAATCAATTTCTCTGCATCTTATTATTATATAAGCTGGGAAAACTTTTATCCAGTGCCTCCCCCAGTGGAAGAGCCCACGAGGAACAGCGTGATGGTTCCCTGAGGGAAGACACCTTGAGCTGGACACTATACCCCTCCTTAAGGAGTGATTACTTCTGCAGATGTGGGCAGCCAATCTTCTAAGATCATGAGGGTTACAGCCGATCTCTGTTCTTTCCAACCTCACTTTCCCCTGTTTCAGTGACAGCCGACTGGAGCTGAGAACATTCACCAAAATATCCTGGGAAGAAACCATACATTTCAAACTGCACACCTTTTTCAACGGTTGTTACGAAACCTTGGACCATTCTGTTCCCTCCTGCTTCCAACAGGAATCATCTCTTTGTCCAGCAAATCCCTGGCGTGATGTGTTACCCATCCATCAGTCACTTAGTAGCTACTCAGGTTATAACACTGACTGTCACAGGGTCTCATGCACCAAAGAAGAGATACCAACTTCGTTTTCCTTGTTTTATTTTATCATTGGTGTCATTCATCATTGGCACCGTTAACCTGCTGAGCCATCTCACCTGCCCTTTTATTTTTTAATATTTTGTGCGTGGGGATATATGTGTATACATGCTCATGTGTGTGCGTTTTTTGTGGGTGTGTTTTATGTGTGCATATGTACATATGGAGGCTTGAGGCCAACACTGTGTGTTTTTCTTGATTGCGGTCCACTTTAATTTTTTGTTTATGTCTTTTGGGTTTGTGCAGTGTGTGCATACACACACAGGTACACATGAACACATGTGCATGGAGGGGCCAGAGGTTGAAGCTGGTGCCTTTTTCAATCACTCTCCACCTTACTTTTGGAGACGGGGGT